ATTTAATAGAGGAAGAGATGATTTTTCCCCTCCAAAACCCTGTTAGTACGTTTCAATCTGACATTTCTTTAAGGTACCTGCGTGCAATTTCCGGGACAGAGGACATTTCCATCCTCCGCTAATCAATGGAGATGTAACTGGGGCATTTCTGACAGGGCAAATGCAAGTAACAGAAAAATAATTTGTGCAAAAAGAAGGAAGAAGAAAAGCATTAGGAGGACTGATGGCTAGTCAGCATTTCAAAGAAAAACCCAGCATGAGCAGTCGGGTAGTCCAGTCCACTGGCAGGACCTCCGCTCATCAGAGACACAACCCCTGCAGCTGCTGAAAGAAGAATGACACTTATTTAGACTCTGGATCTGTGTTCCACAAAATTTAAAAAATAGGATAGGATGGAAAAATAACGTGGTAAAATTGAGACCAGCAAAATTAGGTCTTCAGCCATATTGCCAATAAATATGTAAATGAATAAAGGGATGTTATATTCAATTTATAATGTACCTGTGAAGTCTTTACCATCTCAAAGCAATGTGGAAGACAGGCAGAACCTGTGTTGAGGCTTGAGTGTGAATTTTAGGATGGCGCCTCCATTCCACAAGATGTCACTTGTGCGTGTGTGTTTGCAGGGAGGGACAGTGTGTTGGGTCTCGGCACGGTGTGTAGTGAAAAAGAGACTCAGTGACGTAGGGAGTGTGGCCTTATGGGTTGGAGCAGGAGGCTCCTAGCAGTAGGGACAGTGGGGTGAAAGCTGGAGATCCCGGGAATCTGCGAGGAAAGGGCTCGAGGAGGTGAGGAATAGGAGGCGGGACCTGGTGTGAGTGAGGCAGAGACTGTGGGCCTGGGACCCAGAGGTATCGGTATGTGGAGTCGTGTGTCCTGTTACCCCCATGAGGGAGCCAGTCTGAACCCCACTCTCGCAGAAGAGTGCATGTAACGAAGAAAAGGAACCCAAAAGAGGCTGAAAAGGAGCGGGTCAGGGCAAATGGAACACCTGGCCACACCCAAGATGATGACCAAAACCCCTCGTGGCACCACAACGTGAACTGGGAAACAGCTCTCTTATACCATATATATATACAATACCAGGGGCAGACCTAACGCGCAGTGCAAATTGAATTAATATGCCGAGTAACAGAAGAACACGATGGAAAATAAACAGGATACCGCACAGTTTTCTATTATTAAATGAAATAAAAATGAACATAAAACACGTATATTAACAGCAGTAACCCCCAGAAAGGGGTGATGAAGCAGGAAAGTTGCAAAGGAAAATGCGCTCATGAATTTCGAATTAAACCTTGTGGACTATCTGAGAATCTTGGAAGCTCTGGGAACATTCTAGAAGCTTTGGGACTCTAGGAATGTTCCTGAAGCTTCTAAGCTCTTAAAATGCTCTAGAAGCTTTGGGCCTGTGAGGCTGTTCTAGACTGTTCTAGTGCTTGTCCTGTCACCACAAGTACTCGAGGAAGAAGGGGTGTATTTCTTGAGTTATACTACAAGAAGGCTTGAAGGGCTTTAAGGCCAATTTGCGTTTTTGTTTTTTTTTAATTGACAGACATGTAAAGATGTTCAATGAAATGGAAAATGGAAATGCTCTTCAGACAAGCAGTTAATTTTGGATCTCAAAAAAAGCTTAATGCTGTGACAGTCCGTTAGGAGGGAAGGTGGTGACCTGTGAAAAGTCTTTGTTAACCCTGTGAAGGTAACAATAATGCAAGCCAATAGATACAGCAAGACTCCTTATTCCTGTAATAATTAGGGAAGCAGTAACACTTACCAGTGGGCTATTCCTGCTGGTACCAACCTCACCGATTTCTGCTTTCCCACGTGCCCATGGAGGGCGACCTCTTCTCCGGTCCATGACCAAGCACCCAAGATAAAGTGGAAACTGCCTGGAAATGTACTCAGTGTATTCGTTTCCCCATCAGCGCTAACCTTGACACGCAGGGTGAGTTTATAAAAAGGTTCGGATAATGGCATTTTAGCACTGGTGTTCTCCGCAGGGACCAGAATTTTCACAGCGACCCTTGGGCAGATTAACAGATTGCTGCCTTCAGGAACACCTCTGTTCTGGTTCGCATCCAAACTGCCTACTTTCCCACGCTAATATCTTTTCTTTTAGAGCTCACCTGGGAACACATACTGTGCTTCAGAACTGAGGGGCGAACAAATTCTCCTCCTCAACCTCAGTACTATGCTTGGCTGCGCTTGTTCTGTCGTCTTGTAGCTTCCACAAGCAGCATGAGTGCCAACACATCAGCTGCTTGGAAAGGTTAGCATTTGCCCCAACACACAGTTAAAAGCATAGTAATGCTAGAGTCCTGTAGAGACTTTAATACAGGTTAAAATCTTAATCAGGAGCATAATGAGGAAACTGTTAGGAAAGGAACATTGAGATAGTACTGGGGGAAATTAACAAAGGTAATATACAGACACATAAAATACCAGAGGAAAGCAGGAACAGGACAGGAGCAATAGAATTAAATCATTTATCACAGCAAAATAAACAGCATTAAATGCACTGCCTCGTAACACCTTGGGACTTGGAGACTATTAGATATTACTGGCAGGCTTCAGTATAAGCACAGCACTAGAATCTTTAATCAGATCTAAGGATATTACTCTCATGCTGGCCTCCCTGCACTGGCTGCCTGTATAGTTTAGTGTTTATTTTAAAACACTTCTCCTGACATAAACTCATAAACGATCTGGCTCAGTCATTCCATTTTTTGTTTAATTGAGGTTTTAATGATGGTGCTTTCTTGCAAGAGTCACTGTGTGTTCTTGTATCCATGTATTATTGTTTTTCATGTTTTGGAAATGGTAAAGTTGTTTTTAGACTAAAGGCAATTTGTATAAAAAATATTACTCTTTTTTTAGTAACTATGAATAATGATGCATTGGTTTACCACACATGCCAGCAGTTTGATACAGCATTCAAGGAAAGCATAGTGAAATTCTCTTTTTTTAAATAAAAACACAAAACTGAGTTCCTATGGCAATCCACACAGAAAAGAGATGCAGCCCATTTGTTCATGAGGATTTCTTCATGGAGACACAGACATACTACCCTTATACTTTTAAAACACACACCTCATAATACACAATACTGACCCACCTTAAAAGTCATCTTGCTCAGCTAACACTATGATGGCTGACTCAATTTTAAGAACAAAATTAAAACGATAAGACTACACCATCCACATACCTTGCAACACACATTTTAAACTCTATCAGTCTATTAGTGGGCAGCGCAAAAATAACATTGAGGAAAGTGAAAGACAGAAAATGCAGTCCTAAGAGGGTAGTTTCCTACGCTCTGGACATGAGGAAAGGGCTCTGGAACGAGGGGTTTAAAAGGTAAGAAACAGATTGGTCTGGGAAAGAAACACACAGCCCATTCTCCAGCTCTGCAATTAAACAACTGTGTAATTCTCTTCACGCTATCGATTTCACTTTTAGCAGCTGTACGGGAAAAGAACCAAAAGTTTGGGCATCGCTTTCAAACACGAGAAAAAGACAATCAGCCGCACAACTCCTGAGCCTTTGGAATGTGATTTAAACGGTCCTGACAACATCATTCCCCATACACAAAACAATTTACATCGCAGCCGAGCAAATCAAGAGGCCAAAGATATCTTTCTCTGCCCTCTGCTGTGGCTTTTCTTTTGACTGTAGAAGCACATCATCTTCACGAGAAGAGCAGCACATTTATATATACGTAAATATAAACAGTGTTCAGTTCTTAAGCTTAACGTATCTAAAACAATTTTAAAGCTATTTTAGCTGTTTAGAATGTGAGATAAAGATTGGACTCAGTTTTCACCCCGAGTTAAATTTTTGTTGACTATTGAATATTAAAAGGCTTAAAAAAACAACAGTCCACACATATAAGTGTTTACATTTCCTAAAATTCCTGCCAAATCTGACAATATTCTATGAATGATATTAATAATACGTCTGTACAATTAATACTTTAGTGAAATTATTAAGGTCTCATTCTATAGAATTTCTCATGCTTTTTGCACCAGATGGAAAATCCTAATTATAAAGATTAAAAGAGCAGCAGAAAGATATCTCAAACTACCGCCCCGCAGGTGAACTCTGTGATATGCTGTATAGTGATTAAAGAACAGGAAACAAACAGGCAAAAAATGCAAAACTGAAAACATGTAATTGCTTTGTACTGCCAAAGCAAGTCAAGCCTGCCAGCTGTGGAGACGTACAGTAGCTGAAAACAGATAATGAATACACTGGAGCTCCTAAATTATCCCATTTGGGGCGCAGGACAAGCTTCATAATTAAAAAAGTGCTGGTTTCTTCCAACGTACGTGGCAAAAACATGGTGCAGTGGCAAACATCTTCTGGTTGCAATCTTCTTTATTACCGTCTTGGCAACTGAGAAAATCTCTGCTCCCAAAAGATACAACAAGGTCTTTTATTCAGAGGAAACCAAACGAAAACCCATATGCTGTCAGCTCTCCAGATGGCTGTGCTCAGCTTTTAATTGCAACAAAATCTCCACAGTTTTACAAAGGTGAAGATGGGATTCGCTGTACACTAAATAATTCAATTCTCACAGATCGAAATGCATTCATAATGCAACGCTGGCACTTTGTAACTGGTGAGCCCAACGGAGAACGCCAAAACTCCAGCACCCATCTGAAAATCTCAAGCCATCTTTTGGGAAAGCGATGCTTGTTTTTGTATGTGCTCTGGTTTTACATGTATTACCTCTTTGTCAAAAAAATAAAAATCTCCTGATCACAGTTTAAATAACTTAGCTCTTCCCCTCATTTATATTTATGACACTGCATATTTTAAGGACAAATCGTGTTGATGTAGTCTCCTTCAAGTGGTACTAATGGAAGCTAGTTTGGAGAACCAATGGCTGTCATTAATGATTTAAAAGATGGTTTGCTTAATCTGCTAGACGTACTGTAAGCAGAAAGGGGGCAAAACCTCAAACTGCATTTGAGAAAAAAAAAACAAAACCTCACCTGTGGAGCCGATCCTCAAGTAGTTCAATGTATTTCACGGCATTCTCCTTCAGATTGCTTTCTGTGGAGTCGACAGAAAAAAAGAGATTAATTATGGTATTTATATTTTATTTTCTTTGTGTCTTCTGAACATCTGGCATTCATCCAAGCCACTGTCTTCAATGCTAAAGCACATTTTTTTATCCATGAATGATTAAAAGTGTTAACATTGTAAGAAAAGCAACCCAGACCTTTTGTCATGTGCAGATGCTATTTTGTAGTTCACACAACTGGACTTTCTACCTCCAAATGATAAGTGAGCTTGGAAATATGAATATTTCAAAATGTTCAAATTGAGTTAGTGCATCATATTGTCCCCTTTTTAAAGCTGTGGATATTTTATTGCACTTGGAACTGGAATAGGCATCATACAGTACACTGTATCTTTTCTTCATAGAAATTGGTCTGAAATTTTGAAAACACCTTTATGGTAGCTTATAAATTGCGTAGTCTTTGAAGGGCTTATTTACATGAATTTGTGTTTTTGCCATTTTGTATTTTAGTATATAAACTATAACATTCCAGGAACACTGGATTTTAACACGTATTCATTCACAAGCATTGTAAACTGCTTTGCCAAAAAGACAGGAATGGCACTAAAACATTGTGGTATTTTTCTAACGCCAGCCTTTTGCACTGTGTTAAAATAGGAACTCCTAAGTGACAAGTTTTGTGGAGTTGTTTAAAAAGAATGGCGTCTCTCGGCTGAGGGTACCCCAATTCCTAACCGAATGACTGCAAGCTGCTTCTAATGCTCCCCACATGGAACAGGAGGCCCCAAGTCCTGATATCTCAGGGTATAATAATACCGATTCAAGGGAAAGATACTTAAAATAACTCATTTCCCTAACTCTCCACAATAGCTACAAAATCTCAAGTCATTCATAGTGACACCTGGTTTTACAGTGTTTAGGATACTGAAATAGTGCTTCATTCAGTCTGTGGTGATGCAGTTTGGAGGGCCAGTGGGTACAACCTTTCCAATACATAAGACAGCATCTACGTGCAAGAGGCCTTAGTGAATCTGACAAGCTTATCGCAGGTTGTTATTCCTTTTTAGGGGATGAAAAAGAGCATTCAGTGTGAAAGCAACGACATGTTTCTTTTTTAGTTTTTAAAACATTTTTCCGCATATATAAGCAGATAAAAAATGACTACAGTATAATCTTTTGGAAGTCTTCCTTGAATATTAATTTATTTTTTCAAGTCTCTTGTGTAAGTTTTCATCAGTTTTACACTCAAGGGAAACATAGGCTGCAGTGTTATACCAACTGATGTTTTCATTACTTATTTTGATCCTGTCTCTTATAATAAGGTATAGAGAACAGCTTAGAGGAAAAAAAACACTTGCTGCTTCGTAGACTGATGGCCAAGGAGATAAAGATAGCACTAATGGTATTTTCATACACAATCTCTTTAAGGAAACCATATCTTATCATCTCAAAATATTAACAAAACCTTCTCAGATCCCCTTCTGAAAGATATAGTGTAAGATTCAAAAGTAGCTTCTAAAAACACAGCATCTCACAATATAGTGCTAAAATCTTTCAGCTAACTCCCACAGAAAATCCTGCAGTTTGACAGCAAATAATTTGTGAAAGGCAAAAATAACATTTTTTTAGCACTTGTGAAAGATGACATCTGAGTTAAAAGGAATTTTTAAGACAGGATAAACATTTTAGAACGTCTGCATGTCTGGAATGCAATTGGAGATGGTTATCCTTGTCGGCTGGGTCTTACCAGTGGGATATTGCACAAGACTGCTCTGGCTCCTTAAGCTGAGAAAGGAAAGTTTATCGCCTTCGTAGGTCAATGACTCTTAGACATAATGGTAAATCAAAGGCTCTAGAACTGAGCTGTCAATCTCCCTGGTTTCAACAAACACCTTAAAGTATCACCTGCATAGGCACAGAAAGTCTAAGAAAAGAAGGAAGAGTTAAGAAACAAATTACAGAAATCAAGCTACCTTCTCCCTGGCAGTGACATAAAGAATATTTGAGTAAACCCCGTGCCAAATGTGCAAAAATGTGGTGATGGAGCCAAAAAACTAAGAGACAAACCAGCAGCTCTGTGACAGCTGTTTTTAATTTTAGGACAAGGGTGCCACTAATGTCTGCCATGTTATACATTGTGCCCTTTTTTGGTGCTCAACATCTCGTCTTGGGACAAACGTGATCTATCATTATTGAATTTCTAATATCCCTTGTTCCAGACTTTGGCTCCTCTGCTCTGAGATTTCCTAATTGAGCCCTGAGCCAAATACCACTCCCCTCTTCCTCTGTTGTCACTTCACCTGCCTCCATTTCAAGTTCACCCATAGTATTGCCTGATGGACGTCTCTTCTTCAGTGCTCTTGACAGGAATCCAAAAACCATCCCCGCCAAAGCTACTATATAAGTCAGGAATCACCAGCATCCTTGATCAATACCCTGGTCAATACCAACGTTCCTATAGCTGAAAGATTTTCTTACCTAGTACAAAAATTAAAATGCTTCTAAGAGGTTTTTTGAGACTACCAAAATAACTGGAAAAAAAACAAGTATTTCTTAACTAGAATGATTGCAAAATCACAGCTAAATTAAAGCCTTTTATGAGCTGCTTCCCTTGAGACAACAAAGCATGTAAATCTCTCCCTAAATGATCAACACCCCCATATTTTCCTCTGCTGCAGGGACCTAGAAGATGTAGAGCTGTACTTAGTATTAGTATAGACATAAACATGAGTTGCATGCACCCATTAAAAAAAGCTTAAGAGTTGTATAGTACTTCAACCCAAGCAGAAACAAATCACTAAAGCTATGATTCATATTTTCTCTTTTATTTATACAGAGATTTTATTTCCCTAAAGTAACCTACCATAGTGCTGGAAAGGCAGTTTTAATTTTACATCAAAAATACACATCCACAGAGACACTTTATATGTATCTCCATAGAGCAACAAGCAGAGCTGGACAACCAACAGCACACTCAAACTGAGATGAAAATCACAGATGCATTTCAAAGAAACTAGAATGCATGGGTTCATCTTAAAGCCCCAAATACCTATAACACTATTTTAAAGAAGAAGATAGCTTTATCTAGATAGGGCAGCACAGTAGTGCAGTGGTCAGCATTGCTGCTTTATAGAGGTGAGGCCCTGGGTTCAATTCCTGGGGTGCTGTCTGTGTGGAGTTTGTATGTTCTCCCCTCCCTGTTTGCATGGGTTTCCTCCCACTGTCCATATTGTGACATACTGTGAGTTAAGTGGCATATGGAAAAACTGGCCCTGGTGTGAGTGTTTATGTCTGTGTATCTGCCCTGCGATGGACTGGTATCCCATCCAGGGTGTAGCCTGCCTTGTGCCAGGTGCTTTCTGGGAAAGGCTTCAGCTTCCTCACACCCCTGTATTGGATACAGGGTTAGAAAACGGATGGATACTTCTACTTAAATCTTTTTTTTAAAATGGAAAAAAGGTAACTAGAAAGGTTTTAATAAGCTTTTGTTTTATCCCTGTGTGAATTGTGTGCGTCTTTAAACTCAGCTCCAGACAAAGACAGATCTGGAGCTTCCTTAAATAAGTAAGAAACTAGCAGGAATAATAAGTGCACAAGATCAATGCTACCATTAGCCCTCCCTCAGCTTGCACTGCAAGGCCCAGTGCCCAGCAATCCCATAACCTACATAGTCCCACTTGTTGAACCTTATTGAACCATTTTAGTCACCTGTGACTAGTTCGTTTCTCACTCAGGTTCATTCTCACTGTCTTTGTAAATTAAGCTGCGCTCTTTCAACACAAATATACAGTTCAGCCTGCCAGTTGTTTCCATGTTCATTCTGCATACGTCCCAGGAAACAAGAGTTAATAATAACAGCAGTGCTGGCTTTGAACTAACAGGATCTCTTCTTTAATGCACTTCTGTCAATATTTGGCTGTGCCAGCTTTACTTTCAGTCCAACTCACTACTGAGTATTGTCATCAACATATTTGTCCTAGGCTTGGGCCAGAATTAAAACACTGCAAACACTTTCCACAGGAGTAAATCAGATCCAGAGCATCTCAAACGGTGTTCATTAGGAACAACAACACCCAAGAATTAAGGGTCCTCAAAGGATTATGAAGTGTTGAGTGAAAATTTGGCTGAACCCCTCTTGGCTGATGGTCTCCTGGCCAGGGGACGAGAGCTGGGACCCCCTGCAGCTGCAGAGGTGGAGATGGGCTGGGGGTACAGTATGTGAAGGAGAGAAGGGGATCATGTACAGTATTTATACTGTTTTAGGACAGGAAATGAGTCAGGAGTGATTGCTAATTACTGACGTCTGATTGAACTTGGTTGTTGTCATCCATCAAAGATAAAAAAATGAGGAAAACGGCTTGGGTCAGACAAAAGTATCAAAAATTCAAGGTGAACCCTTTAAAATTAACTCCTGAGGATACACACTATACTTAATTAAGGTCAGAAGAACATTCCAAAAATACATTGGTTTATTCTGACCTGAGATAATGAACAGAAAACGGCACAGCCTGAAGAAAAAGACCAGTTCCCATGGATCACAACTGACATCAGGACAGCCAGAAAGGAACTAGAATTTGTTGTGCTAGTTTTGGCTGCTTTCTACTACTCAGTCTCCAGGAGCAAGTTGGATTTACAAAGGTTATTGCTTAACACGTTAGTAACAACAACAGTTTGACAGCTTATCACAATTTAAATTATCCAAGTGCCACAATAAATTAACTGCAAGGTAATGGGGTGATGCAAGTTTATATATATTAAAAAAAAACATTAATTGTTGTTCCATTAACAGGCAATACACAAAAAGTCATGCCAAACAAAAATAACATCATGTACCAGTGTAAGGCTGATATGATGTAGTTGTATTAAACAAATGCACTTAGCTAAATTAATATAAATAATGAAAGAAACTGAGCTTTGGCATGCTACAAACTGTTTCAATTTGACCAATTTGCTAGTTATCTACAGCAAATATTTTCTATTCTTTCACAGTTCAGGCATTCAAATACTTTAATCTGTCAAAAAAAAAGTT